ATATATATATATATATACATACTTTCAGTGACCATCAGAAACCCCAGGATCTGAACACCTGTTTGTTGAAACTGGACTTGTTTTAAGATGTCAGTACTCCAGTTTGGTCTTAGTCCCTCTCAGATTAGCCGTTAGATTATCAGAATCTATATTTCTCCAAAATGAGGTCATTCAAAGGCTTATTTAAATCATAGAGGGTTTTCATAGAGCCTTGCATTTAAAGATTAGAGTTACTGGTTTAATTAATGTGTCCCACCTGAAGCTGGAGAGGACTTGTTACATCCTGAACAAGGACTCAGCAGGAAGGAGGGCTAAAGAGAGAAGAGAGCTGAGCAGTGGGAGGGGAGAGCAGGAGCTGGGTAAAGAAAAGAGCAGTTGACTAAAAAAATAAGGTTTTTTTTAGCTGTTTGAGGGATGAAGTGCCAGACCTAAGGACTTCTGTCACTCTCATTTCTTCCTAAAGGTAAGCTTTGCTCTGATTAAAGCTAATATTTGATGAGCAGGTTTTAATTCTTCCAAAGGTTATTGAAATGATTAGAATAATGTCTGGGTTTATATAAAGTTATGACCTAAGGTCAAATGGTGTTTTCTTTAGAAAAATAAGTTGAATTTTACTGAAAGAAAAAGCAAAAACTAAAAGCATAAAGGTCAGTGTGACTGTGCAAGTGTCAGGTATGCAAACTTGAACTTTGCCTTCAGAAAATTATTAGAAATGCAGTTTTTGTTGAAATTGTTCAAATGATTTGACTGAAACAAACACTGCTGCCCTTTTATTACCTTCATAAAGTTGTTTTCATGTAAAAGCAGAGTTTTCACTGACTGTTGGAACACAATGAACATACTGTAACTAACTGACTCATCATTGTGAATGAAGATGGTGTTTTCCAGGGATCAGTTCTGCTTCTTAGACAAACTGATGATACTGTGACCTTCTTTTCTTTATCAACAAGTTGAGCTTTTTGTCACCTACAATGATTTTTTTTAATTCAAATTACAACTTTCTTTAGAAAGAAAACTTTTCTTTAGAGGGCACGTTGAGATGGGTTGAGGTGAGGTGGTTGTATTGTGCAGTTGTCTGACATGAAGTGTACAGATGTCAGTGGCTCCAACACAGACCACACAGAGGGGGGTTCATTGTGTTGTGCACCAAACATCACAGAGACTAAGAACTGACATGTGAGCAGCAGTGTGTCCGTTCTGCCAGCTCTGATCTGATGTATTCACTGTAAAAAAAGTCACAACCACTCCGTATGTGCAGTTTTATTTCATCTCTATCACTCTGTTTGCACACTGAACTGATGAACTGATGAGGGAACTGACCCTCCCACTAGAAAAGCACCAGTAGTTTCCGATAAATGTTAAGTCCTTTACAAAAAACCATGTTGATCTTCATCAGTCAATTGATGAATAATCCAGCCAGTGGTGCCTTTTTTGGGGGGGTCATGGGGGTGCCACTGAAAAACCAGGGGTGGCACACCAAAATAATATCTATAACAAAATTTATGATTTGTTTGTAAAAATGACAAATTGAAAACTATTGCCAACAGGTGTTCAATTTGTAATTTCACAGATAATATCACTGATTTTATGACATTCAGAGAGAAAAAACAAGAGTAAATATTTGTAATGTTGGGGGGACCCACTGGCGGGGTGTCTGGGGGTCGTCCTTCAGAAAATCTTTAAATAAGTCAATTATGCCATTTCCTGCATTCTGGTGTATTTTAGTAGGTTGTTAAATAGATTTTTACCTACATAGGAAAACACTTAAAGTGAGTATTCTATAGGTAAAATGAAATATATTTTTTTGTTAAGCAAGAGAAACAACACTATTAATTGATTAAAAAAATCAGTGTTTGTTTTTAAATTTATGAGGCTCTGTTCCTAAATAGGTAAGGGAATTGAAAAAGGTAAAACCTGGGTACTCAACAGGATAAAACTGGGGGGCCATTGGGGTGGCCAGCTTATACTCAGTTGGGCCAAKGGCCCCCGCTGCCCCCCACCCCCCCTGCTGGCGCCCCTGAATCCAGCCTCTGTCTCTTCTGTTATATCTGTATGTTGGAACATCTCTGGCTAGGTAAAGGTTACTGGAAACAGTGAGGATTTAGTTGGGTTGATGCTGACAAGCAACACCGACTTCAGGACAAAAATCAAGCTGGAGAGTTGAGAAAGCAGGAGGAGACATTCCTCAGAGGTCTGTGGTAATGTGAGACAGATGTCTCTCAGCTGCTTGAGTTAGACTGATCAGAAACTCCAGTTTGTTTTTGCAGCTTTTTTAAATGAGACAGTCCAGACAGTGGTTGTTGTTAAGTGTTTGTGAGGAAGTTCAGAACCACACACTGCAGAGCTTTTCATCCCAGAGGATTGATTGTGTTTCTTTTGTAGGTGGGTCCCGTCGGCAAGTCAACACCTCTAAAGGCTTCGTCAGACCAGAACATCTGCTGGAGGGCAAGGTGAGTGAAGAAACAGCTGAAGTTGTGCAACGCTGGACTAAATTAGCCATTCAAAAGTTTTATGTCTTGTAATCTTTTAAAGTGCTCTTGAGCAAGGCTGTCTGGGAGTCTTTTAAAGGTTTTCTTGATTGATTTGATTTTCAGCACTACGAGCTCAAAACAGGACTTTTCTGCATTGAGTCCTCTTGGTTTAGAAATAAATGAAGAAGTAGTAAATAAAATAAAAGGCAAACACCTAAAAGAAAATATCAACACATTATTTTATTATAAAATAAGGAAGAAGCTGATGAAATCTGTTGTACACCAGTTATTTAACTGGAAGAATAATAATAATTAAAAAGAACACCTGAATGGCAGTGACAGAATGACAGTTGAATAAAGTACCACAAAGTGATACTTGAGTAAAAGTACAAGTATCTTGTCAAAAAATTACTTGAGTAAAAGTTTGATATTTTTTGTACTTGAGTATTAAAAGTAAAAGTATTGATTTAAAATGAGTAGTTAGATTTTCTGTAATGACATTTATTAGGAGGTGACCTCCCCAAAACAATACAGAAATGACTATATTATATTAGAATAATTAATTTACGTTAAATTTAGGATGCACTAGTCCAGCTGTTTCAGTTTATATACATATATCAAGGCTGCACAAAGCTTTTCCCCAAAATGAAAATCTATCTGAGGGCTGTGGCCAAATGTAATAATATAATTCATGAAATACAAATACTTCTTAAAGTACAGAGCTTTAATTTCAATGATTATGTCCTGCTGGAGACATGATTTGTTTGTGTACAAACTAATACGGTATCAGAGTTTTATATATTTATACTTCTCATTCAACCACAGTTAAATTCACTCTATCTAGGAGGCTCAGTTTATATGGATAGTATTTATTTTTTATAACAAGCTGCAATGAAAACAAGCAAAAATGAAACAAAAGTAACAACTTTCTACTTGTCTTTTTTAAAAATGTAAGAAGTAGAAGTAAAAAGTAGGCTGAAAAATAATTACTCAAGTAAAGTACAGATACTCAAAAATTCTACTGAAGTACAGTAACAAAGTATTTGTAGTTAGCAGTGGTGGGCACAGTTCCCCTAAAGCACTAAAGCACTAATAGAGGAACAAATTTATTGATTAGTGCTTTAGGGCTTTTGCTATTTTTTAAATTCATTAGTGGATTAGCACTTGCTAAATCTATGGACTAAATTCAGAAGCACTAACTTTAAATGTTATTGATCAACATTATTGTTCACAGCTGAGGGTGAAAGCTGTCACACATTTTGTTCATATTTGTGCCACTTATCTACAAGGTATGTGTCAAACTCAAGGCCCGCGGGCCAAATGTGGCCTGCGGGCCACGGGTGACTCCCATTTGGCCGGCCAAGGGCACTAAGTGACAACATTTCATGTGTCAACTGGAACATATTAGTGCTTAAGAATTATTTTTTGCTAACATTTTCATTTAGTGCTTTAGAATTAGGGGACCTAAATATTTGAGTTAGTGCTGGGTTAGTGCAACTAATATTTAAATTAGTGCTGCCCACCACTGATACTTAGTTACTTTACACCTCTGCTGAATGGGGAAAATGTGTCTTTGTGATGGTCTGCTGGTAACAAACTGACTATAGTTAACTATTAAAATAGGTTATATTTGTCAGATTTGTTTAAGGCACCCTGTGAGTTAGGTGCATTTTTTAAGCTAGTATCTCACTGGGATAAGAGAAATATTTTTTTCCAAAGTTCAAAGAGAAACTTTTAAAAACCTTTCAGACCTGTTGGTCTGGACCACCTCTCATTTCAAAGAAGGTCCAGCTCAGTGGAAGCAAAACTCAAAGCACTGAGGGTTGGCTCAAGACTTTTGCACAGAAATAAGAAGTTTAGTAAATCTCTCCCATGTTTGTCATTAGGACTCCGAAGCCATCTACCAGTGGTTGTGTGAGTTCCAGCTGGAGCAGTACACCTCCAGCTTCATCAGAGCAGGATATGATGTTCCCACCATCAGCAGGATGACTCCTGAGGTCTGTCTGCATCTTCTGCTTCCATCACTTACCTTATCAGGGGGGTCCTGTTACCATGCTGGTATCAGGACCCCCACCCCCCCCCCAGTTATTACCTTGAAAATAAGATCAGAACCATGTCAGATAAAAGATTAAAGAAAAGGTTTGAGAGCCTTGTCTAGTGAAGGGGATAAATATTCTGAAGTGTGAAAGCTGTTCAGCATGAAGAAGGAACAGAAAAAACCTCTGTGCAGCAGGAGCAGAAGTGATTTGTGTTTTAAAAGATGTCAGATTTCTCAGTTTTTGGCTTCTCACTGTGTTTATAAGGATGCTTCATGGAAATCAGAATACAGTAAAGATGAATTCATCAATCACCAATGTTTCTGTTTGGTCTCCTTCAGGATCTGACAGCTATAGGTGTGACCAAACCGGGCCACAGAAAGAAGATCTCCATGGAGATCAGTAAGCTGAGCATCCCTGAGTGGCTGCCAGATTACATTCCTGTGAGAAACCATTTTTGACATTCCACTGAAATGGGCTGTTTCTCTTGGATTGGTAAGAACCAGCTTTGTGTGTGTTGTTGCAGTCAGACCTGGGGGAGTGGCTTAGTGTGATTGGACTCCCACAGTACCAAAAGAGATTGTGTGACAATGGCTACGACTCCATCAGCATTGTGAAGGACATCACCTGGGAGGACCTGCAGGAAATAGGAATCACTAAACTGGGTGAGAGGTTTTTCACCTAACCCTTTCATTCATCCGTTCACAACAAAAGTCATCAGATCACTGTCCCAAAAGAAACAAGTCCAAGTCATATCCAGCAATTCAGTTCTGTTATATTCTGTACAAAAAAATAGTATTCTGGATTAGATGTTCATGTCAGTACAGTTGTATTGTATTTTTCAATTCAATAAATGGAGATCTAAACTGAGCACAAAATGTGAGAACATTTTTAACAAAAGCAGAATGAGGTGAATTTTCAGAAAATCAATGGCATTGAGAGCTAACGAGGTTAGCATCTTAGCTCCACACAGCAGAAAACTCAACACCCGCGTGTATCCTCACTACAACTGTTTTCCAGCTCAGAAAACAGTTGATAAACTGTGAAATTATCCACAGCAGGGTTTGTTTTAAAGCTTATCTACAATACTTTTCTCTTTAAACTTTCCTCTCGTGTCGCAGCGCTGCTGCTCTCTCCTGCCTGCACGTAAACAGGCGGGACACACACTGGTAGTCTGCACTCTCATTGGGACACACACACATTACTATCACATTAGGATCTACATATTCTGATTGGTTGGGAAGGCTGACAATCTTTCCTCACCTTTATCATTTCTTAAAGAGGCGCTCTCATTTTCTGTTACACTAATTTCACAACTGACAACTCTTACTGCACTAAAAGTTCCAGACTAAGATAAGATGAGATGAGATGAGATGAGATGAGATGAGATGAGATGAGATAAACCTTTATTGTCGTTGTACAGAGCACAATGAAATTACAGTTCAGAACACCCATACACAAGAAGACAGAACATAACAAACAGGAGAACAGGTGCCCTGGGTCATGCAGCCACAGACCCTGCACAGAGCAAGGATCATCTTCATGAAAGAACATCATGAAAAGGCACTACCCTTAAAAAAGAAAAACAGAAAACCACACATGGATAGATGAGGAAAAAAAACATCATATTATTTCCACTAAATGTGACACACTGTGGTATTTGTAGAAAAAACATCTGCAGAGCAAGAGCATATTGGATGTAAACATCCAGGAGTTCCAGATGAAAACGTAAAGGAGGCTCCCAAGCAGAAAAGCAGGGAAGATGAGAGAAGGCAGGAGAGAGGGAAAGAACATCTTACCGTATTTATTCGTGTATAATACGTAAAATTTAATCCATAAAATCATCCATAAAGTTGGGGGGTAGTACTATACTCGGATAGATATTCTTACTTATGTATTTTAACTGAAATATCAGCTTCATTCACAAAATGCCTGAGTCCGGAAATGAGACCGCTTCGTAAAAAGCTGTTGAAGCGACCTTACCTCTTGCACTCCTTCGTGCTTCAGAGCGAGATAATAACAGATCCAGGCAGGCGACATGATGTGAAAAAAAGGGTGGGGGGGCAGTCCTGCACCTTAGTAATGATAACAAACTAATGACATTAGCGTGTGACCGAGCCGCTCCTTGAACAACAACAAACACACGCTCGTCTGTAATGGCTGCCGTCTACCGGTGTTCTGAAAAGGTTTGTATCCCTGAAAAAAAGTTTCCCCACCAGAGGGGGCGCTTGCGGGTAGGAAGTAATCTGCTTTTGCCCCACAAGATGGCCCAAATCTCATGTGAAGTCTCTGACTTTTGTGTTGGCGCATCCTGGTGGACTATGTGTAAAATGTCAGAATTCATATGATGTTGCTACAGCTGATATATATTTGTTGTCAAAATACCTTTTAGTACATATGTTGTTAAAATAAAACGAACAGTCCAATGATCATTTTACTGATATGTATAAAGACTGCAAAGGCTGAAAAATCTTGAAGTCTGGATGAAATCAGAGGTAGTTTGAGGATAAAATTTTTTATGCTTTTTAAGCTAAAAAAAAAAGGGTGGTCGTATTATACATGAGATTGTATTATACACGAATAAATATAGTACTTCTCTGAGAGCAGAAACAAAAAATAAAAATACATCTAAATTTAGATTTTACATGGTGAAATTCAGCTGCCAGATACTCTTCAACCCTATGAGCGAGCAGTTTATGTTTTTCTTTTTTTTCAAATAAACATAAACCATCATGCTCACAAACTTCTGACCAATCACAGTAATTTCTTAGCTAAATGGGGATGACTGAAAGCTGCAAGCAAAATGATGCAATATTTGTCATGAAACTGCAACAATGTGAGGCCATTTAAACAGGATGGAGCATGCAGAGGCCTTAACTCTGGTGTAGGAAGATTCATTATTGAAATGGAACAAATGAATTCTATCAGATAAATATGATTAAAACAGCTTAATTTTTTACATTCTTTATGTCTGAAGTAACTGAACTTGAACTTAACTGAACTTGGTGGAAACTGATTCTAACTCCATGTGTTGTATTTTCCTGTGCTCAGTCTCTGCAGCCACACTAAACGTCAGTGATAAAATGTTTTGTGTTTCAGGCCATCAGAAGAAGCTGATGTTAGCAGTGAAGCGACTGTGTGACCTGCACCGTAACCACGCCGACAGAACCGAAGGTGGGACTCTCAGGCGAAAGCCCCCCGCTGCTCTGGAGCTGGTCACCATCGAACACACACCAACACACAACGTGCACCCCGACGCCCCGCCCAACAACTGCTGCCCCTCTCCTCAGACCCCCAGAGCCCTCCTCTCATTCCAGGACAGCGAGCTGAGTGCCGAGCTGCAGAGCGCCATGATGGGCAGGGCTGGGGGAGGAGCATGTGAGGCTTTTGGTGTGAGGGGCGTGACTTCTTCTGCAGCTCTAGCTGCCATGTCAGTGAGTGAAGAGAGCCTCAGCAGGCGCTCTCAGGGTTCAGGGAACTCTGGAAATTCAAATGTAGGATTTTCCAACAATCAACCAACGGCCCCAGGTCCAGTGAGGACCGAGGAGGGTCCGGTCAGTGGAGGAGAGGAGGCCAGATGTGGACCTGCTGGTCCTGCAGGCAGAAATAAACAACTGGCCAATGAGATGAGGGAGCACCAGAGTTTGTCTGCTTCCCCAAACACGCTGATGTTCTCTTCTGTCACCCCTCCGCTCACCCCCAGCAAGATGCCCCGCCTTGGTTACCCAGCCGTCCCCCCTAAGGCCAAACACGTCCAGTCTCCTAACCACCTTCTTCAGCCTCAGCACCGGCCTGCCCCCTCCCCGTCCTCTCCATCCCCACAGCCCTGCCCCACACAGAAGACCTTTGCACTCATACAGGCCCAGGTAAGCAGCCTCAACGGGGCTCCAAGAGTGCTCTCCAAACCCCTACCAGGAAGTGTCCCTGTGCTGAGACCCCCAGCAGCACTGGTCCCAGGCAACAGCCCCTCTCAAAGCCTGACCCGGTACACTCTGTCTGACGGGGAGCCTGATGAAGATGACGGTCACACTCACCCCTCCAGGGTCACGCTGTCCTTCGCCACCCTGTCTCGCAAACCGGGCCGCGGCTCCGGGGCTCAGCGTCACGTGAACCGCAGCCAGTCCTTCGCCGTGCGCTCACGAAACAAAGGTCCGCCCCCACCACCGCCCAAGAGAATGAGCTCAGTGAGCGGCAGCCCTGTGAGACAGCAGGGGGACAGCACCTCGCTGGAGCCGGAGGGGTCAGAGGTGAAGAGCAGTGTGGAGTCAGAGAGCGCAGGGAGCGTGAGGAGCATCGCAGCCAGGCTGGAGGGCAGCAGCAGCAGCAGTCCATCCAGGCGTATAGATATACCACCAACATTTATCCATGGCTCACCTGGACACAGTCCCATTACCACCCCACTCACACACGGATTCCCCTCACACATCATCCTGCACCACTCCAAACCAGTCCCTGCTCTGGGTCTGGGGGGCTTGAGGAGGGTGGGAAGTGAGCGAACAGAAGACGACACTGACAGATACAGAGCTGGAAGGAATGAAGAAAAGCAACGAGTCAGGAGAAACGACAAACACCTGAAGAGTGCATCTGTGTCGCCAAAGACCACCTGCAGGGAGCACCTCCCCTTCGCTGAGGAGGGAAACCTCACTATCAAACAGAGACCCAGGGTTTTATCTGTCACTGCGGGAGACATCAAGACCCCATCAGAGAGTCCGGTCCAGACCCCGAACAGCCTGGAGCTCCCCGAGTTCAACCTGAAAGAGTCTGATACGGTGAAAAGACGACACAAACCCAAAGACAAACCTGAGGGGGCTACCACCCCCAACAGGGAGGACACCATGCTCCACAGGCAGGATTATATCACCACAGGAAGTCCTGAAGAGGCTCCGACACTCAGAAATGTTTTCCAGAGAGTCGGCTCAATGGGAAAAGGTCCAAAGCCTCCAGTGTCCTCAAAACCCCCCACTCCTCTTCAGCAAACCCCCAACGGCAAACCAACAAGCCCCCATAAAATGTCTCCGTCAACACAAACTGCCATTCCACAGTTGACCAGTGTGCAGATTCATACAGTCTCACCAAAGATGAACGTCAGTAATCCTCTTCAGACGGCTGTTCTGAGTCCTAAACCTGTGAAGCACCAACACACAGTCCTGTCTAAGGTCTGTCCTGGTCCTGAGAGCCCAGAGAAAACTGTCCTGTCTGGATCCAGACCCCATCAGCCTCGCCCGGCGCTCAGCTCATCAGCAGGTTTGTTTTCTGTCTGGATATGCTTTGTGTTCCTGTAATGTTTGTTTTAACCATCATAAGCTGTGTTTCCATCAACATTTTTTAATGCACATTTTGAAGTATTGCATCAGAAAAAGTGAATGGAAACAGCATGATTCGAAAAATCTTCATCTAATTCGCAAAAAAGTTGATGCTTGAGGTGGTTTTGGGTTTTTTGAAAAAGAGTTAATGCGTAAAAGGAGAGATGGAAACACTTTTGCCGAATAAGTTCTGACATAGCGAACATATACCTCACATGTTGATCAGCTGTTCCTGCTGTCCGAACGGTACCAGAGTGATGCAGTTGGACCCTCCTTCTGCTGTCGACCTCTTTTCAGTTATTCCAGTAACGTGAAGAGATCTGCATTTCTTTCTCTGAGTCTCCAGACAGCATGTAATATCCTCAGAACTTGTTGATATGACAGAATAACAACTTTCCTGATAGTAGCAACACGTTCCTGATAATTTCTCTCCATTAACCTGAGATGTGTGGACCCTGCGAGTTTGTGACTTTTACTTCCTGTTTACTACAGCCATGCGTCTGAAGCAGTGGTGGGCACCAGCCCGCTAAAGCGCAAATCCGCTATTTGCGGACCTAAATATTTCGTTTGCGCTTTAGCGGTTTTACTTATTTTTATAATTCATAAGTGGATTTGTGCTTTCTAAAATTAAAATGCAGTACCGCTAATAACTAATTATCTAGCAGTCATCATTATCTTGAACAGCAGAAGGTAATGCTGTCAATGAATCACAACACACATGATCTATCCAACAGCACCCCTCCCAGATAAACACATTTATTGAGAAGGTATACATCCTTGCTTTGGGTCACGGTTCTCATTTCCTACAATGCTTTGTGTCTGCTTATGTAGCAGAAAGGCAGTGTTTAGAGCTCCCTGTCTCAGCAAAAACAGGTAACGTTTGTAATCCATACTAAAATTTTGTATGCATTGATTTATTTTACTTTACAATCGGAGCTCCTTTTTAAAAAAAAAGTTTAAACGCTGGAGCTCAATACTTGACATAAGCAATCGGCCAACGGGGTTAGAGACTCAGAAATGATTTAAAGATGATGTGCTGATGAAGACTGACATCTAGTGGTCAACTGGAGCAACTACATGGAAAACTTTAAAATCCAAGCTCTTATTTTGAAGGGAAGATATTTTCCTGTACTCTCTGTTTTCGTTTCCCGTCACAAATCAAATCCGTCAAGTACCCAGAATGCATCGCTTCAGTTTTCCAATAAACAGTTTTAAAATTACTTTATTGATGCTTCTTTAATGAAAAATCTACAACAAACAAAAGAAAAAGACAAAGAAGCAGCCAAACTAGCAATCCTCAACAACTTTTTAATTTTTACACCAGGAGCCAAAGTTGTTTCAGGAAATCACATCTGCAGCAATCGGTGGTTGTAGAATTAAGTTGTACAAGGGTTCATACACCGCTATTTGGCAGTGTTGTGCATATGTTGTACAAGAATTATTGCCAGCTAGTAAGTGTCAAATTGAACCTGCGCTTTAAAATTAGCTTCTGCTAGTTTTTCTATGCCATAAGCGCTTTAGAAATTGTGGAGCTAATTTTTGGATCAGCACTGCCCACCACTGGTCTGATGTAATTGATTCACTTCAAGCCAATTGATGGAAACACATCTGATTCACATTTCTTTGTTTTTTCCTTTTTGCGAAATTTAAAAAATTTGAATTAAAATTAGATGGAAACACAGCTATAGTGACATGTTCCCTGTTGTTCTTCAGACACTGAGTTCATCATTCAGAGTGTTTCCTTTGCTGCTCCGTCCTCTCTGGTACCAACATCCAACCCCCCTTCTCCATCTGGTGTGGCAGTTCTGGAGGTTCTGGCTCAGAAGAGACTGGAGCAAACCAGCTCATCTCTGGAGGCTGCACTCAAAGTGGTGGAAAACAAACTGGCCCAAGGAAGCAGTGTGGACAGGTAAGACCCTCCGATATCTGTAGGGTCAGGGTTTGGTCGACCTTTCTCTGTTGGGATTTGTGTCTTGTCTGTTGTCTCCCTCCTTGTCTTCACTCATCTTCTCTCCTCAGTCTGTTTCCTGCAGTTCCCCTCTTCATTTTATCTCTCACCTGTCTCGTTTTAAGTAATCAGTTTTCCTCAGCTGTTGTCTAGCTTCTCTCTTCCTCTGGTTGTATAAATACTCTTCTCACCTCTTCATTCTCTGCTGGATCACTGTATGGATTACCCATCTGTCTCATTTTCCATGTCTCCTGTGGCTCCTTGTGTTTTGGTTTATTTTGCTGCCCTGTCAGCTTTTTGTTTTATTTTTTTAAATCAACATTTTTGGTTTTACTCATCCTCCGTCTGGACCTGGGTTCATTCCTGCACAAACCTGACATTCTCTCTTTTTCTTACTCTTTGTTCTTCCTTTACATTGTGGTTGGTAGTAGTGCTAGGCGGTATGACCCAAATTTTCTATCATGGTATTTTCGGTATCACGGTACTTGACGATATTTTTTTTTCATTACAGCTCAGCTGATAATAAAAGGTACAAATGTTGCTTTTTGATCAGCACCAAACCACTGCAGATGTTACTCTCTTTCTGCAACAGAAACTACAGTATTTCTTGACTTTTTTTCTTTTACTGTACCTCAGTCTGTTTCCCTCCTGTCCATGTCTTTTCTTCTCTGCCAGGTTGTAGAAAGTAGTCACGCATTGAGGTGTAGATGTGAAGGAGGAGGGTTGAGCAAAGATCATTATTGGGTCTATCGTTTTATGTTGTTTAATAAAGCTCAACAGGACGGCTCAGCCTGCGTTCACCTGTCAACTAAACCCTACAAAACCCCTTCCCCCGGAAGCCCCCCAGTCTTTTCACAATAATGGTGCGTTCACACTGAACGTGATTTCAGCATCAGGAGCAGCAGGTTTACATACAAAGTCTATGGTGGACGCGCTTCAAGCAACATCGGGAAATGCTGCGGCGCCTCAAGCGCGATTAGAGCAGCGCGATTTGAACGATTTGAACGATCTGAGCGTTCGACGCGCTGAGGCGCAAATCGCTGAAGTTAGAAAATTGGAAATTTTGCAGCTCGACGCGCCGCGTCAACCAATCAGAGAGACTCCACTGTGTGACGTAGTGACATATTTCCCGACGGGACAGTTTACTGAATGATGTCCACTAACCTGAAACAGATGGAGGTGTGTTGCTCTTTAGCTGAAATCGAGTGCCTGCAGTCGGTGTCCTGACAGGAGATATCCGCACCAATGCGTGGCAGCGTCTCATCAGACTGGAAAAGTAGTCCTGAAAGCGAGCTGTGAGCCTCTACTCTGAATTATCTGGTGAATTAATTATTTATTATAATTAATTAATTAATTAATTATAATTATTATCTGATGAACGTGACATGCTCTTGCTCTCTGTAAATAAAGCAAAGCCACTTCCTCGTCCGACATTAAACAGAGCCCGACAGAGGAGGGAGGGGCGGGGAGGCTGTTGTCGTGCAGCGCTTCAAGAGCTGTCCTGCGTCTGACCTCAAAGTGCACGAGCGACCAACTTCAGCGTTGGCTGCGATTTTGAAGCTGAAATCGCGTTCGGTGTGAACGCAGCATAAGAGTACATTACCGGATAGATTTCATGAGCGACGTAAATGTATGGAGATACATTTATGTCGCTCATGAAATCTATACGTGAATGTCACTGAAGAGTTGTATACTACATTCATCGATGATCAAAAAGGGAGTTTTTATTTTAACGTCAGTCAATATGAACAGCAAAATCGCCACCTGCCGCCAGTTATTGAGAAGCTTCTCCAACAATAACATTAGCATGCTAATGCACATAGCGGTGCTGCAAGGACAAGTGTCCCTTTATAAAAAAAAGTTCACTGCGACGAAAAGTTCTGAACGTGTTCAGGATATTTAAACTGGTATGTTCATATTCAGAGCATTTATATCATAAAAACATCGATCGATGTTGATGTTTCTAGTGTTCAGTATTGTGTTTTAGTCTGTACTTCAACCATTGCCTTTTCTCTCATTTCATCACTCACGGTCTCAAACCTGTTACACATGTATAACATTGTATACTGTATACTGTATACACTGTATAACATACACTGTAAACTCTTAAATTATTTTTTATTGTTTTATGACGTGTGCTGCTGACCTCTTGACCAGGTCACCCTTGGAAAAGAGATCTTGATCTCAATGGGTTTTATCAGGTTAAATAAAGGTGATTGATTGATACATTGTTTGTAATTTACACAGATTTCCCCTCATTTTGCAGGTATACATATAGAGCAATCTCATAGATTTCTTAAAGTTTTACAGATTTTTTCAAAAACTCATTTTCAAATTTATTTAGCATGTTAGAGCCTGTAACATTAAAAAACAATAAATAACATCAAATCTTTCATCTTCCAGCCCACTCTGCTGCTATAAATAAGTTCTCCGGTCCTCATTTGTTCAGCAGATGCTGTCATCTCTGTGGCCAACAGTCACCCCACCCCTCACCCTTCGCATGGGGGATTAATACGGATTTTTTGTGAAAATTACAGATTTTTGAGGTTTGTTATACAGGTAAACGTTTGAAGGGGTTGACATGTGTCATAACAACTATAAAAACTTTTTTTGGTACAAACCAGTATACCGCCCAGCACTAGTTTGTAGCATAGTTTGAGGCACATGTCTTCCTTTACAACAGCTTTGAGAACTAGATGGGTAAAAATCCTGATTACGACCCATAAAAACCTGCTCAGTCCAAGACCCTGTGTGTCCTGAGGGGAGGACTGTGAGGCGTTCCAAACAAAACTCTCTTTTCATGTCTGATTAAGCTAATTTTGTTTTGTCTTTGTGCTCAACAGCATCTGCAGAGTTGTAGAGTAACTAACTACAAATACTTTGTTACTGTACTTAGAAAAAAACATAGAAATTTTGGCTATCTGTACTTTACTTGAGTAAATATTTTTCTGCCTCCTTTTTACTTCTACTTCTTACATTTTTAAACAAGGTTAGAAGTAGAAAGTAGTTACTCCTATTTCATTCCAGCTTTGTTGTTAAAAAAATACTATCCTGATGAATTTTCTCCTGGATAGAGTGAATTTAATTGTGGTTGGATGAGAAGAACAAATTTAAACCATTCTGATACTGTATTAGTAATAATAACAATGAATTATATTTATACCGCACTTTTCATTAACAAAAATCTCAAAGTGCTACAAAAAAAAACTTTGTTAAATGTAATTAAAACCAATGGTAAAATCATGCAGAGGAATAATGAGCTTGATTAAAAAGAAAAGTCTTCAAGCCTTTTTTAAAGTCATCCAATAACTGCGGTGCTCTCGGGTAGTCAGGGAGGGAATTCTAGAGGTGGGGGGCGGCCACACAGAATGCCCGATCTCCCATGGTCCTTAATTTAGTCCGTGGAAGGTGAAGGAGGTTACTGTTCTGTGATCGGAGGGAATGGATGGATGAATATGAAACGGTAAGGTCCTTCAGATAATCTGGTGCAGTTCCGTTTAAACATATATTTAAATATCTTTGGGTATCACTTTGAGGTACTTTATACAACGTTGAGAGAATGTGTTCTCTGCTGAATAATCCAGATGTTTACCTCATCAAAACTCTGTGTGTTTCTCAGCAGCAGCAGCTCAGTGACGGCAGCAGGGAACATTCTTGACGACATCGGCTGCATGTTTGATGATCTGGCTGACCAGCTGGACGCCATGTTGGAGTGACCCCACAAGGCGGTCTGCTGCAGCAAACAGGAAGCTGAGACTCAGGTTGATGCAGCTTTGCTGCCTCAGAGGAGCGACAGGAAGGAAACAGGAAGTTCCTCCTGCAGGAGCTGAGGGTCCGTTTGTTGCATGTACAGTAAATATAGACAGTAGGTGGTGTTTTGTATAGCTTCACACATCTGATGAGTTATATTTATATTTCTAAATGTCATTAACCGAGTTTATAGTAAATAGGTAATGTTTGTATATTTTGCTGCCTAATGTAAGTAGCTTATAAATCCCAGTTTAATGTATGAAAAGGAGCTTTTTCTGTTTTTACCAAAGTCTTTCCTGCAGCTCCTCAGCAGGTTTCAGTCTGGGTTCAGGGTTTCCAGCTCCACTGAGGACGATGTAAATAAACTCCAAAGATCTTTGTTCATCTGCGGTCGGGTCAACAGATTGTTCTCAGAGAACGTCAGGGATTAAAAAAAGACTGAACACTTTGAGCAGCTCTGGACCCAGATGTGTTGAAATAAATGTTTTCAGTCAGGCCTAAATAAGCAGATGGCATTAACTAAATTAACTGAAATCACAGGTATTTTGTCTTAATATATTTTGCTTATTTAAACTTCGTATTTTCCAAATTAATTTTTAAAAAGTTTTTTTATATAAATATTTTGAAAGGAAAAAGCTTTTATCCTGTGACCATGCTTTCCTCAGACCTACAGAAACCTGGCTCAGCTTGGTTTGACCTCATCAGGAACATGTTTCACAAGAAACTACAACCAAAATAAACAACTAATTACTGTTTATTTTTATAAAGACACAACTTTATCCTGCTGAAGTAAATGAATTCAGTTCATTTTTGTAAAATCTGTGGATCTGATCCAGGATCAGCCGTGTTTAGTTTAGTAAAGCCCGGCATTTATCTCCAATAACTCTCTTTGCTATGCACTTTAAAAACTGAATAAATAAATTTGTCATTTATTCCCCTGGTTTTATTTTGTAAAAATGTTTCTAATTTCTAATCTAATGAGAGTTACAGTATTTTAAAGAGTAGCTCTGAAGTCTTCCAGCCTGGATTCTTGGTAAAGTGGCAGAAAGTTGGAGACGACAGCTCTCCTGTTCAGTCATTTTAACATTCATATATTCAGATTGTGCTTTTTTTTTCTTTCCTAATGTGAAAAAGACAATTATTTTAACAGCTTCACTGTTACCCATTAAACTAGTTTTCTGCTGCTTTACCTGGCAGAAAAAAAATCCTTCAGTTCTGATGATTTCTTTTTGTAAGATTGGATGTTTAGTTCATTTAGTTTAAATGTTTTATTCAGATTTAACTCAATGTGTCATCCTGAAACTAATGTAAAAACCATTTGTACTAATAAAGTTTTATGACTTTCAGTAGTGGAGCAGCGTACAGAGTTGACATGAAGTCACAAAGAAAAAAGGTTTCCAGTCGTCTATGCAGTTCTGTAAACATCCTGACGTTGTTAAACGAGTCACAAAGTTGGGAGAAACCCAGACATCCCTCTCCACAGCAGCTCGTCCTGCTGGACCCCGAGGTGTTCCCAGGTCAGAGGGGAGACATAATCTCTGCAGCGAGTTCTGGAGAAATGACTGTTTATGAATTAAATCTGCATCTAAGAATCATTTGATCGCACTCAGTTCCACATTTGTTGGGGTGTATGAATGGGGAGGTTTGATAAATCTGAACATCTCTGTCTTCAGACTACTTCTTTCAGAGGAAAGTCCACCTGAGCAGTCCTTAGTGTCTTTCCTGTCCCTCAAACCCAGCCGGTCGAGGCAGATGTCCTGTCCTGGTTCTGCTGGAGGTTTCTTCCTGTAAAAAGGGAGTTTTTCCTCTCCACTGTTTTGTTTAGTTTGTGATTTATAGTATTATGTTTCAGTGTTTTATGACATTACATTTTACCACAGAACTGTACAGGTTCTGGAGCGATCCTCCAGCTACAAAACATGAACAGTTAGTGTCCTCAGTTCACAAACACTGAGGTGTTAAAAGGAACACAGAGGGAAACATGACCCTGTCCACATTTATTAGAACCTGTTGCAGCATCAAATTCAGAATGAGTGAATATTGCACAGACACAATAACATGTATCCGTTTGAACATTAAATATCTTGTCTTTGTAATGTAGTCACTTATATAGGGTGAAAAAGATTTGCTAACATCTCAACTTCATTGGGATTGAGGCTGTTCTTTTGGTAAAAAATCAGAGTTTTAGTCGAGTTGTTCAGATCTTGAAAATAATGTTTTGCCCAAACCATATTTTGGAGACATTCTTCAGAACCACATCTGACACCACTTGGTGTGTGGGAGAAGGCAGGGACTGACACATCAGATGGTCCAGGCGCTGTGTCTGATTGCTCTTCTTCTGAATAAATTATTGAACACAGTTGTTTATACTTGAATTAAAAATATTTGATCAAAGGAAAACAAGAGCAGGACGAGAGAGATTAATTTGATTTAGATCAGGGGGATCAAACTCATTTTCACCGTGGGCCAGATGAGCATTATGGTGGCCCTCGAAGGGCCACTTGTAATAAACTTTGATGTTTCATGTTTAGCTTTGATTAAACAGTGTTTTAACACGTCCTCTTTTAAACACTGATATGAACTAACTGTACGACTGACTAAATCTGAAATAAATACAGAAATATTTAGTTTGTGGTTGATGCTGACTTTAAAGCAGTTTATTTTCAGACGTTAGTACTGAGCTATCCAACTAAACTGCTCAGTTACTTAAAGCCAACAGTTCAGGGACAGGAATTTATTAAATGTATTTTTATTTCATTTATTTTTATTAAATTTATTTTGTTGCATTTAATCATAAATTTAAAGTTTACCATTGATAAAAGAAACTAATTTCATGCCAAGTAAAAAAAAAAACAATTTTGGGGGGGGTACCCCCCTGGCGGGCCACACGGGAGTCATCCGCAAGCCAATACGTGATTTAGATTTTTATTTCTGTGACTGTGTACCACCCATGGAGACGCAACATCAACAGCAGTCATTTCATTCCTCAGCTTTAGCAGCTCCTTTATGGATCCTGAGAAGCTCAGAACTCAGTGTTTCTAACCTGTCCTTCATAAGAGGGACGCAAAGGTTCAAATGAAGACCAGTGTCTTTTTGAGGAGAGCAATGGCCCACTTAGAGAATCCATCTGAGCGGAGACCTCCTATCCATCCCCACTCACCATAACCATTAGCAACTCCTTTAATTCCACAACTGATGCTGCTAAAAATGACAGATTTTCTTTTCTGGATCTCTGACAGCAGGACTTTAATCTCTGAACTCATGAAGCTCTTCTTTTTACTTTTTGCTGCCATTTTCATGAATGGTATGTGGGGCAGGAAGTGTAGCCTTATGTTGTTTTTGTGATGGTAATTAAGCTAATCTCCTCTCCTCGTGCACCTGAATATAAACAGGTGGCATTCATCATGTTTACGCTGCTCATTTACACACTTTTCCTGAAGATAGAAGAGTTTGTTAATCTGACGTGGCTTTTCTAAGAAAAACGGGTGTTATGGGGAGATTATAAGCATTTGATCCATTCTCCAATCTGGAAGGTGGCGATAATGCACCTACAAGTTGTTTGCTAACCGCCATTAAAAAAAGGAAGAAGAATCTGACGTGGCATGTTCGTACAAGCCCTTTGTACGAACAAAAGTCAGAGAAATTTAGGATAAAACTAAGAAAATGTTCTTGCACTAGGCCCAGTGAGTCACCAGTGAACCTAATGTGTTAGTTCTGTGGGAGGACACTGGAGGATCTGGTGAAAACCCAGAGGTGCACTTTGTGTTGGCTAATATCAGTGGTTACAGTCGTCATGAACTGGGTTGATTCTAAAAGTGTATAGATGCACATCCAACTGTTGCTTTCTGCAAGTTTTAATAAAGCTAATGGTTTATGTGATATTTTGTTAACAGACAAAAGTTTTCTGGTGATTATGAAAACAACTGGTGGTGCTGCAGCTAATGGTGGTCATTAAAAGACAGACTCGGGTCTATTTGATCCAAATGTTATATATTTTTATCTGCCATCAGTTTCTCTCATGGTCACAACACTCAGATCACCAGGTGCAGCTTTAAAAATCATTATAAAATTATCTGAATGTTCAGTCCAACTAAAATATCCTCTAAAATCATCCTTTCACATATGTACACATTTGTAAAGAAAGAAGAAATAATCTCATTCCTCTGAATCACAGATTGGAACATAAACCCTGGAGTCGGGATAAAATGATTTGACATTTTCTAATTGTGAAATAAAATCTGCCAAGAATTTATGTTCCTACATTTCCACAGGAGAAACTGTACATTAAGATCTAAACTTTATCATATATTAACCTTCATTTCTGTGATGCTGAAATTACAACCATCATTAAAACATGAACAAAAACCATCAAATGTCTAAATTCCAGGAGTAAAATCAGGATATAATACTGTTAAACAGGAGTTTAAACTGGGTGTCAGGACGGCTGATTGTCTCTGGATTCTCCACCAGTGGCGGGGGGCACGGAGCAGACTGGGACCTCCTCATAGGTTACTGAACAGTTCATTCCTCTTGATCCAGTCCATCGCCGGAGCTTTTTTAGCTGCTCTCTTCTGGTGGGCTCGTTCCTTGGCCTGGGCCAGAGACAGGTTCAGACCCAACGAGTCTGTCGCCGAGGCCGGGGTCGGCTCAGGTTCTGGGGCCCGTTCCACCTGCAAACACACACACACACACACACACACACACAGTCAGGAGTGTGGCTCCCAGCTGCAGGGACGGTTGTGTTTCCTGAATGTTTACCTGTGGAGGAGGAGAGCTGCGAGCAGCTGCAGGCAGGGAGGAGCTGGACGAGGAGTTGGATGAGCTCACAGACAGCTTGGGTTTCAGCTTAGGTACTGCCTGGAACACACACACACACACACACACACACACACACACACACACACACACACACACACACACACACACACACCAAACTGAGCTACGAGGTCAAACTCAGGCACCAGAATCTGATCAAGGTTTCATCTTTTAGGTTGACAGGAACTAGTCACATATTTTATAAAACCTCTGTTTTTAAGTTTTAAAATCCATTAAAAACACTTTATTTAAAAAAGTTTTCACAACATTTGATCTTTTCCACGTTTGGTATTTTCCTGAGTCTTCTGGGTCAAAACAACAAAAAGTCCTGCTGGCTTCTGAAGTGGAAGAAAACAGAGTTTTTACATATAAAAAACTATAAAAACTGTTCATCAGCTGAATCAAAGTGTGTTTCTGTTAGTGAGGTACTCCACAGTTTAACTTTTGAAAACTTCAGCTGTTTTAATCATTCAGTATCAAACTGTTCGGCTCGTTCAGGACTTCAGATTCTTTTATAATATTTTAATTTTTAAGTTTTGTTTTTGATCAAATGAAAGAATTCTGTGTGTTCACTGAGGTACTCCACAGTTTAACTTTTGAAAACTTC